AACGCAAACGCAAACGCAAGCAATGTTCACACGTACAACGCAAATGCAAGTAAATTAAGATACGCATGCGCAGTAGTGATTGTTTATAGCTCACACGTATTTTCCTTGCGTTTGCGTTTGCGTTGTTTGTGTGAACCACGTCTTGCGTTTGTGCTTGCGTTTTCTCCGGTTCACACGTTAAAAACGCAAACGCAAACGCAAGCACAAGAAAATGGAAAATTTTCCATTCCTTGCGTTTGCGTTTGCGTTTGCGTTTGTGTTACTGTAGTTCACACGTAGTTTTCTTGCGTTTGCGTTTGCGTTTGCGTTTGCGTTGCTCGTGTGAACCAGGCTTAAGTACACGTTTTATATTTATTTCTTTTCAGATGGCAGCACAGCTTCTCCAAGATGAAACAGACCAATGGGAAGAAGAGAACAATTCTATTGTCAAAGTAGCCAAGAAAATGGCGCTCCAGATGATGCAAATGGCGCAGTTTTCAAGAGGACGAGGCGATCTGCAGGTTTGTGTTAACGACAATAATACCAATAGCAACAACAGAAACGACAGCAGCAACGACAGCAATAATAATAGCAACAATGTTAAGAGCTTGAAAGCTGGAAAAAGGAAAAACTCTGCAATTCATGCTAATTCCATTCTTACGATTTCTTTGAACTTATAAGAAAACTATTATATCTCATATAATTGAGGTTTTTAGTTTCTTTTCAAATTCTTTCTTTGTTAATTTATCTATCATTTGAATTTGCCTCCCTTTTGCAGGACAAAATGGAAATGATCAACACTGCTAAAGCCATTGCAGCCAACGCCAAAACCATCTTGAAATTTGCTCAGATCATAGCTGACGCCTGTGTCGATGAAAGGTTCGAGAAATGTCCCTATTTTTTTCTAATATTTTAATGGTTTATGAATATTTTTTATAGAGCTTACTACCAGCATTTTAGTAGTCCTGAAGATGAACACTTAGGTCAAAATCTCAAATCACAAAAATCGTTGTTAAACTTAGAGTTGGAGTAACCTTTAATATGTTAGAAATGAATTGAAACACAACCCACAAACACTTATTTGTCCTTATTTACTTTATTTATCTATATACATGCCTTTCCCTTTTATTTCTTTTCTTTTTTTCTATTTTCCTGTTGGTCTTACGATACATTTTGGTACAAACTCTTGTTATTTATTACCTTTTCTCTGAAGGTGTCGAGAAGACTTGCTGTACTATGCCGAATGTCTGCCCACCATGAGTACACAGCTGAAGATCATCTCTTCGGTTAAAGCAGCAACTCCTAGTGATCCCTCGGTAAATATCCCGCACCAATCTAGTCGTCTCCTCTCTCTCTCTCTCTCTCTCTCTCTCTCTCTCTCTCTCTCTCTCT